AAAAAAAAAAAAAAAGAAAAAACATACCTTACGAATACTCCTGTAAATAACGCAATTCCTTCATTAACTAAAAAAAACGTATTATGTTTCTCTCCATAACCGAGGAAAAAAACCAAGGAAATAAATAGCTCGCTAAAGTTGCCGCTATTTGAGAAATAACTTTTTTTGGCAGCGTGCCGCTATTTGTATTCATGTGCAATTTAGCCGCTAAATCCCGCTAAATCTCCGCTATAGCTCCGCTATAGCTACAGTGCCATAAACGTTTTAGCCCGCTATTTAAAACCTTGAAAAAAACTGATAAACATCAGTTTCATTGATGAACTTCGGGCTACGCTTTCGGCCCCTCGACAGGCTCGCCGCCGATCTAAGCTGTGTTCGGGCTACGATCGATGAGATTCGGGCTGAGAGCAAGAGACAGAGGTTGCTGAAGAGGAGTGCGCTCATCAAGATCCGACAGACGCTTGATGGTTATGGTTGCGGTTTCGGGTCTTATTCCGGATCTTCGATACGATTCGATCAGTTTAAATAATTCTCCGAATTAATATTTATCTAACTTTTTTTAGTATTTTATGTTTGGTATATGATCAGTTTATGTATTGTATATTTTCGGTATATGTTCCGTCGACATGAATATGCAATTTATAGAGTTTTTTAAGTAAAACTTTTGTTGCTATTTTTCGGGTGGTGTATGGTTGTTAATGTATTGTGTATTCTAAGTGTTTGATATGTGATCAATATTATTATAATTAGTTAAATAGTTTATGTTTGGTATATGATCAATTTATGTATTGTTATCAATGTTTCAACATCTTCGAAAGCCTAAATAAAATGTTTAAAAACGCAACATATACAGAATATATACTGTATATATACACAACATATACATAATTATGAAAAATAGTTAATAATCAACCAAAAACAACAAATTCATCCTTTGTATGTATACGTAAAATCTTCTAATATAGGAAACATAAATTGTGTATAAACGAAAAATATACTGTCTATATACTCAACAATCAGTCCAGGCGGAACAAATGAGTCCGAAAAAGCCGACTACCATCCTCGAAATATATTGTCTATATATACAAGCCGATGTACACGTCATCGTACATGCAGAACAATGAGTTCGAAAAAGCCGACTACCGTCCTCAACCGAAATCCCTATGGTCGTCCCTTCACTGACCGCGCCACATGCACAGTTGGTACGTGCTCAACCCAGACGACCATCGTCCAGTCTACCCTTCGGCTTTGGAATCGCTATACCAGACTGCCACCGACCACCCGCCGCTCACCGTGCAAATATTGGATGTTCAATTCAAGAGATTGACGCTGCCCCGGTAAAGCGTATCCACGGCCTCTTTCAGTCCACCGCCATTAATTGTTGGAACTTTTGATGTTGACGGAAAATTTTAGGACATAATCGTGAAAATAAGATGATCTATCTATTTTTCTTGTATTTTTTTTAGTAGTCGGAGTGATGCAGTACAAGTAACACTTGTATTCTCAGGCCGGGTGTAATGGGACAGTATGATTTCATTATTGTTTATTAATTTTGCTCCGAGGTTAATATGAAAAACTATGTGTGGAGGGGAGGGGTGGGGGATGATGAGAGAAAAA